TTTATAAAATGTGATGGGAGACACATTATTCTAGGTAGATTAAACAGTTAGTTTATATAGTTATACGTACATACAGACTCATGCTTCTGTTTTATAAAATGTGATGGGAGACACATTATTCTAGGTAGATTAAACAGTTAGTTTATATAGTTATACGTACATACAGACTCATGCTTCTGTTTTATAAAATGTGATGGGAGACACATTATTCTAGGTAGATTAAACGGTTAGTTTATATAGTTATAGGTACATACAGACTCATGCTTCTATGTTAAATTTTATAAAATGTGATGGGAGACATTATTCTAGTTAGATTAAACGGTTAGTTTATATAGTTATACGTATATACAGACTCATGCTTCTGTTTTATAAAATGTGATGGGAGACACATTATTCTAGGTAGATTAAATGGTTAGTTTATATAGTTATACGTACATACAGACTCATGCTTCTGTTTTATAAAATGTGATGGGAGACACATTATTCTAGGTAGATTAAATGGTTAGTTTATATAGTTATACGTACATACAGACTCATGCTTCTGTTTTATAAAATGTGATGGGAGACACATTATTCTAGGTAGATTAAACAGTTAGTTTATATAGTTATACGTACATACAGACTCATGCTTCTGTGTTAAATTTTATAAAATGTGATGGGAGACATTATTCTAGGTAGATTAAACGGTTAGTTTATATAGTTATACGTACATACAGACTCATGCTTCTATGTTAAATGTTTTATAAAATGTGATGGGAGACACATTATTCTATGTAGATTAAACGGTTAGTTTATGTGATAGAATATGTCTGTTTTTGGTTTTAATATCATCACCATCAGATTATCTTCCTGCAGTCTAAAGTATGTTCAATCTCAGTTTTAAATTCATTGGTTAAGAAGGATTGCTGTGTTATACTGTTTTACTAATTAGGTATTTTCGAGTAACATTAAATTATGAGTTTCATGTTTTAGATGAAAAGAATTAATCTAAAAAGTATGTCAGTTAATTTAGTTCTGTGTTTGTTTCCCATTGATAAATCTCTTGGTAATAAGAGAGACTACCTTTAGTAAGTACTAAGAGATGGTAGTAACATACTTGTAACAAGTGTATTTACTTCTTATTATTCCCCCAGGACAATTTTGTTGAGTGTGATATCCCTTCTTAATGAACCTAACACATTTTCTCCTGCTAACGTGGATGCCTCAGTTATGTATAGACGGTGGAAGGAGTCTAGGGGAAAAGATAAAGAATACGAAAACATAGTCAGGTAGGCCGAGCGTTTGCGTAAAAGTCTTTACTAGTATAGTAGTCATTTTTCAGTTCAGGAATTAATTAATTTACTCCAACATTAAGAATTGAAATGTAATTTTTTGATAGGAAACAGGTGACGGCAAGTAGGTGTGAAGCCGAGAAGGATAATGTGGTTGTGCCAACAACTATAGAAGAATACTGTATTAGGCAAAAACCAAGACCCCAAGAATCGGAAGCGGACATGACAGATTTCTATGTTGATGATTATGGAGATGATCTGGATGATGACGAGGAAGAAGAGGAGGAGTTTAATGAAGATGATGAGGATTCAGGAAATGAAGAGTCATGATGCTTCTCATTTTATTTTCTAGACTCATGTCATTATTTTTTCACACAAAGTTAAAATCAACATAAAAGACATGCATCTCTAGGTTGACTCCTTACTCTTTCCATGCATGTCAAATTTAATGCTAAATCTGTGCATTAATTGGCAAACAGTTAGTATATTATCTCAAGTGGAAATTAAAATTATCTGATTCATTTGCTAAATTCAATAAAACGGAAGCATCGTGGTAGTTTTTCTGTAGCAAACCAAGTTAAAATTAATTATATTAAATTTTTTATACATAAATTTAGAGATCTTAAAATGCCTAAATTCAAACAGACCCAGACTGTATATTTGTAATACAAAAAACAAAACACTGTTGTTAAATAGGAGATGTATAATCTAATTAACATTATAGTGTAAATTATAGTATAAGCAGTGACTTTTTTTTTATTTCATTTAAAGCTTTATTGCATGATAAATAAAACTGTACAAGTCTTATCTTGTATATTCTGCTAATTTTAAAATTTGTTAAGTACTGGAGATATATTGGATGTAAGGCTTTTTGCATATTTTTATTATGCCAGATCTTTGTTTTGTTTGGAAATACTGTACTAATGTATCTTCATGTAGACTGTGTGTAGGTTAAAATTTGATGTTCTGATTAGAAGTTTTGTGTGATAAATAAAGATGTAAAGTTGTTATACATTTTTCTTGTACCGTATGTTTTCTAACAGTACTTTCTTTTACATTTATTTTAATACAAATATGTGTGAACAAAAGTGTGAGTTATGTCTCACTACAAAGTCTACTAGGTGTGCGAGTTATGTCTCACTACAAAGTCTACTAGGTGTGCGAGTTATGTCTCACTACAAAGTCTACTAAGGTAAAAACAAAAACTAGAAGTTTATCTCTTGCTAAACATTTACTAGATATAAACAAAAATTGAAAATCTTAACTACAAAGTTTGGTTATTTACAACTGTAAACTTGAACCGTTAGGTTAAACAGAACTTATGAAAGAGAGATAACTAGATCAAACATGGTATAAGACTTGTTCAACAATAGAATGTTCTGTCTATTGTTTACTAAACTGTAGTAAACAATAGACAGAACATTCTACTGTTGAACTGTAATAAACAATACAGAACAAAAAACTGTTGAACTGTAATAAACAATACAGAGCATGTTCTGTATTGTTTATTACAGTTCAACAGTAGCATGTTCTGTATTGTTTATTACAGTTCAACAGTAGCATGTTCTGTCTGTTGTTTATTACAGTTCAACAGTAGCAAGTTCTGTCTGTTGTTTATTACAGTTCAACAGTAGCATGTTCTGTCTATTGTTTATTACAGTTCAACAGTAGAATGTTCTGTCTGTTGTTTATTACAGTTAAACAAACAAAAATAAATCTGGAAGCTTCGTAGCTTCCAAATCGAGTGTTTCACAACTCCACTGTAAAAAAACCGTGGTTAATTTTTGGACGAGTACTTATTCAGGCTGTGGCACGAACCGTCTTGTTCATCCTTCTTCTCAAACCAATACACTTGATGTCTGCTGTTGCGATAAAAATTGCAGCCCAACGACGTTCACTAAAACTATACTCACTCTTTTCTCTCAAATCAATCTTTGATATTACGTGTTATCAACTTTATTGTTAAATTTATAATCTGCCCTTGATGTTAAAGTAATAAAAAAATTCAGTTGTTTGGTTGTATATACGGGTAAGGACGATCAGTGTTGGTGTGAATTTTAACAGTTGTAAACAGGAGCTTCTCTAGGCACTGAATCCCCGGTTGGTGTCTTGAAAAATCATAATAGAAAACCGTGATCGATATCGTTCTGAAACCCTGAAAATTCTCGCGCCATGGGCCCTAGTCCCGAATCTTTCAAGCACCTAGCGACACCTCTAGTTGTAAAATAATGTTTTTAGAGGTAGTACGTTCTGTATGGGTAAGTCTGGTCAGTTTAGGTAAGAATATTTGCAGTTACTTTGGAAGGGGGAACGAACTAGGGGTAGATCTAGAAGGAATAATTTTTAGAGCAGTTTAATTATGCAATCAGCGGGTTCGAAACCCGATGCCGAACATGCTAGCTCTTTCAGCCGTGAGGGCGTTATAATGTGATGTCAATCCCACTCTTCGTTGAGAACATTAGCGGTGAGTGTTGTCGGCCAATGTGATTGACAATTTAAAATTATACAAGCGGGAGATAGCCTTAGCAATTTTTTCATTAAAGCAGGTCGTATTAAACCAAATTGGATATGTA